ATACTATTTTTATACAATTTTATATACACTTTTATTTTATATATGTATACTTTTTACATTTTATATATTTATTTTGTGTACATAATATAAATTTTATATTCGTTACACTTCAAAATTTTACATCTATTTTTATTTGAGGAAAGTTTTAAAAACTTAATATGTATATCAATTAGTTAAGTAAAAAAATATTTAAAAAGTTTTGGAAGAATCATATATTTTTATGAGCAGATTTGGCTATTTTTTTTATTGTAAAAAAAAATAGTATCTTAGTAAATGACCCAAAAATTTATGTTGTAAAATCGCAGGTACGAGTACTTATGAAAATTTTTGTGCGTTTGCGTACAGAATTAACATAGGTCATACAAACCCAGGTAAGGACATTTTACAAAAAAGTAACTTGTTAATAAATATGGAAAATACACAAATAAATTTTCCGTATGTGTGAATAAATACATATGTATGTCATAGCTGACTATGGGACTGTACTATAGCTTCAAGTTGCCACATTAATTTATGCAAAATTTCAGTACTATGTTTTCAATATTTTCTAAGATATGGCCAAACTACTATTGAAGTTGTATGGAGCTACCTGAAAGAGCCAAGCAATTTCGACGAGTTTTATCAAATACATTGGCCCTACTAATATATTCGCTTGTGAGAAATTCCAATACCACAGCTTTTATAGTTTCTGAGATATTGCCAAATAACTTTTGAAGTTGTTTGGCAGCTACCAGAAGGAGAAAAGTAATTTCAACGACTTTTATCAAACACATTGGCCCAACTAATATATTTACTTCTGCGAAATTTCAATACCAAAGCTTTTATAGTTTCTAGATATAGTCAAATAAATTTTGAAGTTATATGGCAGTTACTTGAACCAGTACGCCGATCATATTAAATTTAAATAGGGTTCTGGCATTTACTATAATAAATTATTTGCAAAAATTTAGTGAATTTAACGAATTTTAGTGATTACACAAAATGTACATGATAAAATCATATTTCGCTCTATATTAATATTCGAAACCTTGGCATTACAAAAAATCAAGGCCTGGACACTTCTTCTTTTGTGAAATATTTGTTAAAATTGCATATGCATTCTTTAATGACTTTTCTGAAAATATCATAATATTTTTTTTGTTTTTTTTTTGAAAAAAAATATAACTTTGCCTATTTTCATTTTGAGTCTGCTATACGAAAAATTGACTTAAACCTTCAAAACCTTGGTGCTATAATTATACCCGTACGAACGTATGTTCGAAGGGTATACTAAATTTGCCTTACCGTTTGTAACGCTAAGAAATAACGGTGTTAGATATAGACTCAAGTGCATGTTTTTGATCAGCGTCAAATTCTGAGTTGATTTAGCTTTGTCTGTCCGTCCGTCCGTCCGTCCGTCCGTCCGTCCGTCCGTCCGTCCGTCCGTCCGTCCGTCCGTCCGAACGATAACTCAAAAACTAATTGAGCTAAGCTCACCAAATTTTCACAAATGATTTATTGTAGTAAGTGCCAGAACCCTATTTAAATTGGACATGATCGGGTTACCGGTTCGGGTAGCTGCCATACAACTTCAAAATTTATTTGGCTATATCTCAGAAACTATAAAAGTTATGGTATTGAAATTTCACACAAACGAATATATTAGTAGGGCCAGTATGCCCCATAAAAGTCGTTGAAATTACTTGGCTCCTTCTGGTACCTGCCATACAACTTCAAAAGTTATTTGACTATATTTCAGAAACTATTAAAGCTATAGTATTGAAATTTCACACAAACGAATATATTAGTAGGGCCAATGTGTCTCATAGAAGTCGTTGAAATTACTTGGCTCCTTCTGGTACCTGCCATACAACTTCAAAAGTTATTTGCCTATATCTCAGAAACTATAAAAGCTGTGATATTGAGATTTCACACAAGTGAGTATATTAGTAGGGCCGATGTGCTTGATAAAATTCGCTAAAATTTCTTGGCTCTTTCTGGTAGCTGCCATACAACATCATTAGTAGTTTGGCACAACCAGTATTTTGAATAACACATAGTACTGAAATTTTGCATAAATTAATATGGTAATACGGCAACTTAAAGTCATAGTCTGCCCCATAGTTAGTTATGGCACATTAGTTATTCGCACAAATTCGTACGGGTATCACAGAGTTGACAAGGTCAAGTCTATTTTTTTTCTCGTTTTTAGTCTAAAATACACGATTTAATATAAAGTTAATGAACATTTTATTAGATTTTAATTTAGAATTTAAGTTTGTAGCTATTTGATTTTAAGTTGATCATACATAATTAGGGAACTTGTTAATATCAAATGTATATTTTCTTAAATTTGAAAAAATGCTCAAAAACCAAATTAATAATTAAAAAAAAAAAGAACAATCACACAATTTTTGTTTCTTATAGTGTAGCGTAAGTAGGTAGGTACATATGTACATACATATATTGAAATCTTAAAAAAATGAACAGAACCTGGAAAGATTTTTTTTAAATAAATTTTTTAATTGTTTAACACTACGCTTTAAAAATGTAAAGTAGAAAAAGATTGAATTTTTAACTTTTTCTAATTAAAAATTTGAAAAAGGTTCATCTTATTCGAGATTAATAAAGTAAAAAAGGGTCCTCTATAGCTTCCATAAGAATAAGTGTAAATAGTGTTCGAAACCATACTGAAATACGAATATGAAGAATTTTTGCACTTTTTTTACGTTCCAAAGAATATAAATGGCAAGCTTTTTAAAAGATGTGTAAAATATCGTGAGATTTATTGAAATTGTAAACTCTTTTTTACTTGAAAAAAAGAAAAAAAATAGTAAAGATATGACACAATCGATGGAATTTGAAAAAAATAGAAACGAGACAACAAGTCGGAGTACTTCGTATAAAAAATTGTTCTTTTGTCGTATCTGTGGTAGAAAACATTCCTACAAAAATGAGATACATATATGACAAGATAACTTTAAATAAAATCACCTATAGCTCTTGATTATGTCGTTTTAAAGTACCCGTGACTTTCAAAACGCAGTATAAAAAGTTTTTAATATAGTTTAAATTCTGTCTAAATCCCAGTTTTACAACAAGGATTGAAAAAAAAATCGCTACATGGTATGTGGGTTTTCGCACATAACAAATAACACAAACGTACTTATGTATGTACATATGATGTGTTATTTGCTTTTAAATTTTGCTTCTAATAAATTTTTTTCTATATAAGATTTTAGAAATACCTGTGCAAATAAATTTTTATAAAAAAAAATACTGAAACATTTCCTAAAGATTTAATAATTTAATTTTAGTAATTGGTTCTTCTTGCCTTTGTGTTTCCTCGAATTCCTTTGTTATTTTAAGAAATATTTTAAAAATTTATTAAATACTTTTCTGACATAATATCCTAAATGAATGTTTTAGAGAGCATGATTATAAACAACGTAATTGATTTCAAATTGATTGCAATTTTAATGATTTTACTTAAGCAATTCAATTGCTTAAGTACTCTACTAATATTGTTTTCAGGATTATTAAATTATAATAAAATAAATTTTTGTTCACATATAAGGGACTGAGCTAAATCTGCATTTAAAACCTGCAAGTTCTACATGTAGATGGAATAGAGAATTTACATATTCAGAATTTTCCAACAGAAATCAATTTTTGATTGGATTAAAAGTTGACAATTGGGCGTTTTTTCTGCAGAGAAAAATTATGAAAATCCATTATGAGAACGATAACGGGGACGACTTTCGTTGTTAAGCCATAAATTATTCGTATTTTGCGTGGAATGTCACACACGCGTGGAAACAAACTATGACAAAATATATCAGCTGTTTCAATTTTGACATTTGGGCACGAGATGTCAATTTTGTTCTCTTTTCAACTTAATCAAGCTATAAAGCCGTACTTCAAAATTTAACAGTTTTACAATTGTTGCAAAAGCAGTACAGTAAAAAAGCAGTATGTGTTGAAAGGTGATTCGAAAAGGAAAATAAACCAATTTTGATTTACTGCTTTGGGATGAACGAAATTTATTAGAAGCATTTTCAAACTTTGAATTAACTGCATTTAATTACGTTGAAGCGTTCAGTAATGCATTTAATAATATTTGCAGCTTTCAAGAGTGTCTTTTCATTTCAGCAACGTTTATAGCTTTAGAACTTTTCATTAGTGCACTGTATGGCGATTTATCGTGAAAGCTTCACTTTATTTTTATATATAAACAAATGTTCAACTATTTTTGCATGAACTTTACTAAATTCTTGGAATATTGCAAAATTAATATGAGTAAGTTCAATCATATGATCTGTTTTGATTTTATAGAATGATAAAAAATATCTACATAGCCTTCAGTTTATGTTTTTGCAGAGTTTCGCAGTTATTGTTTTGCAATATTACGGTTATGAAAAACATTCTTTAATTTACGGACTCCTTTTGTTTACGTTAATATGCGTCCAATATAGTCAGGCGTAATTCACACATGACATTTTTGTTTTAATTATAATCAAAAATTCTGCTGGGTTCACTTGACATATGCATAAAAATTTTAATCTTTAATAATAATTAAGCAAGAAAGCTATGACAATTATCATAATTAATACTGAGTAGAAAATTAAATAAATAAAGTACGGATATTATACTGGAAATGAGTGATCTAGATGAAAGTGCTGGACAACACCAAGCAATCGGGATAGGAGTTACTCCCCGGAGGTAAATCTTTATAAATTTTCTACGTTTTAACAGAAAATTTTTTTAGTTCCCTTGGAAGTGGAATTTATAGCTCTGGATCATCAATATCACCGTCAACGAGCTCTAGCAGTAGCCAAGGTTCAGCCAAAACAGCTGTGTCAGATTGTTTGGGGGCTTGGCTAAATTATTTGCAAGTAACAACCACTACATACATATATACATACATATATGAAGACATATATATACATAATATAATTGTATATATGTAAATGTATATGAAGGATGATTTAGAAAGGTAAACCACAACATATACCATTGGTTAGAGGGTCAAAAATGTGTAAAACTTTTGTTCCGAACTAGTTGCGAAATCTCAGGGGTTTCCGAGATACAGGGATTTTATCAAATTTTCTCGAAATTTTTACTTTTCCAAGCTTTTTTGATTGTAACTTTCGCTCCGAAAAAGATAGGGGCTTGAAAACGACATATTAAGTACTTGATTTTGTATTTTAGGTACTTTCGGAATACCAATCATTCGAACTTTGGAAAAAAATCTAATCTTTTATTTTTTTTAACCCAATAATTTCGTGCGAAATTTTTTGAAAATTCGAAATTTGTTTTTACAGTACTTTAGCCACAAAAAACTTGGAGAAGTAGAAAATTCGTGAAAATTCGTCAGAATCCCTGTATCTCGTATACCCATGAGATATCGCACCTAGTCCGGAACAAAAGTTTTATCCATTTTCAACCCTCTAACTAATGGTATATGCAGTTGTATACCTTTGTGAATTACCCTGTATATGAACTTGTAGGTAAAGATGTATACATCTAGTAAAGAAAAATATTTCAGGTTTTAAACAATTTATGTGCAGCAGGGTTTAGACTGGCACAATCAATTTCGTCATTAGAACAGTGGGGTCATCCGCCCTCTGCGGAAACTTATGTATTATCACAGGGCCCATCAAATTTCAATAACCCCTCGTCAAGTCAATTGTCAGCTCATTTCACGAACGCTTGGGAAGATTTACAAAGGTATATAAAAGTCAATTAAATTTTTAATAATAGAAAATATTCGAACTTCAGGGCTACCGCTGTTGCCACAAGTACTGTAAAGTCACACATTGTAACTGTGTTACAAGATTTTATTACAACTTCTATGGCTCCTACAACAGCTCAGGTTACCGTTGAACAAGAAATTGAACAGCAAAGGGTTCGTGATCATAATCAGCAAATCGTTTTGGAAAATGCTCAGACAATGATAAAGTAATAAAGGAACGAAAATTATTTTTCTTAAAAATTTATGATTATATTTAAGTTTTTATTTAAGTATTCAGCATCAATTTTGTGCAGCTAGTTATGATTCATTTTCATCGCTTACATGCTGCTTCGTTTGTCAAGTGCCTCTAGGATTTTCACATGACCCAGAATGTACAATGATACAGCAAAAACATGGGTAAAATAAAATATTTGATTAAGGTTTTAAAATCCATTTGTTATTGTAATAGGATTAATGTTGAGCAACGATCTCAAACTCCATCTCCACATTTTGGAGGTGTAATTCAACCACAGCAACAAACGCAATTACAAAAAACTGAACAATTTCGACTGCCGTCTGTTCCTGCTGTTGATTCCAGAAACATAATATTTGGTTCCAGTTCTACACAAGCCTCATCAGAACATGTTTATGGTGTGGGTGGTTTAGAACAAACGCGTGGTCCTTCTCCACAAGAAATACGTGGACCCAGCCCTATTCAAGGATTTTTAGAAAATGTTCGCGGCCCTTTGCCAAATCCAGGGCACTTAATTGGTATGAAGTCACCATTTTATCGTGGATCACGTTCGCCACTAAATTTTCCATTATTTCCATTGACCGGCCAAAGGCGCTGGTCAGAAGCCGCAGCTGGAGAAGTGAGATTGCATTCTGTAGATGTTGAAAGTCAAATGAGGAGATGGTCAATGCCTTGGGAAGCAAGTAAGAGTGACAAAAATACTGTGACATGGCATCAAACGCGAGTCATGCCAATATCCAAATTGGCAATACCAACTACTTCAAAGACAAGTTCCGAACGTAGTCAAAGCACAACCCCGGGTAATTAAAATGTAAAGTAAAACATAACAGGACATTTTTATACTATTAATTTTTAGATTCTTTGTTTCAACCGTCAGTTACTAGTCAAGATGGTTTAGCAGAAGCAATTCAACTGTTATCATGTAGACCTCAAAGAAATTATTCCCTACAACAACAGCAATCGCTGCCAACACAACAGTTACCCTCTTTAGGACCTCCCTTTATCGAAGAACCTGTAAAATTTTATATACAGATATATATATAACTTATCTATTCATTCTATTCAGAGCAAGACTGTCACAATAATAAAGAAAAACATATATAGCTAGATACTATGTAATGACATAATATTATTTTATGAAAACTAAAGCAATTTATTTTAATTTACATGTTCTTATATGGCTATAATCATTTTAAATTTTGGACATAATAACCCTAGTGTTGGTAATAGCATTTAATATAATATTTGTAATACCATTTAAAGTATTGAATTCTTAAATCAAGAATTGTAATACTTTCTTGCTACAACGGAAAAAAAAAATTGTTTCAGTCTTTCTTTGAAAAAAAAGAACATATTTTTAAATTTTTTTTTAAATTTATTTAGGCACCTTATGAAATTTGGTCAACAGAAAATCAAGATCGTCTTCCAAGTATTAAGTTTCCCCCAAGATTCAAAGAACGAGATGAAAATCCCCCGCAATCTTAAATGTTTTATATCCATTTTTATAATATGCAATTACGAAGGAAAAATTAAGAATATGAGTTGCAAATGCAAGTAAATAACATAGATAACATTTTATTGGGCGTGTATACGAATATCATATCGCCCTGCGCAAAATTAGTGTTCCATGAACTTTTTTACATTATTATTACATTTTTTTTTTTAAATAAGCTTATTTTGTAGTTTTTTCAGCAAATCTTTCTTGTAATATATGTACGTGTTAAGTGATTGAATGACGTTATAATTTTGGTTGAAATTGTATAAGGCAAGAGCTTAAAATAGAAGAAACTTTTCGCAAGATATGTAAAAATAAAAAAGAATGGTGAACATTTTATTTAAAATTCAATATAAAATATTTTTTATTTTGAATCTAAAACTCGAAATATGATTTGCGTAGTAAGTAAGTAATATAAATCAGTAAACATTTAAAAATGCTATTACAAGGAATAGGAATATAGATAAAGCTGTGAATATATTTAATTAATAATTACTGAAGATATTAGCAGATAAAAGTAGCTACCTGTCTATTTTATAAAGTACTAAAACTTTCGATATAGAAGCTTAATTTTTTTAATTTTAAAGTATTTAAAAATTTTAAAATTGTTTATGAAATAATGTTTTATTGCCTTTTTTATGCAAAAATTTCTAAATAATATTTTATAAGCGTAATATTAATAATAATGTAAGATAGTATTTCTTAAACAGTAGTTTTGCACCCCTTTAAATTTCGGTTTTGAATTAATTTTTCCTATTCAGCAAATATTGAAAATTTTAACAAAAATTTAAAAATAAATTTAGGGGGAAGTAACTCGTGTTTAAGTACATATGTATATTTAAAATTTACGATAATTCTATTTAAGAAAATTTTGTTTACATAACATTTTGTATACTTATGAATAAATTTGTAAATTTAATAAAAATACTCAAAATCTAATTGGAAAAAGAAATAATAAAAAACACTATACAGAATCAAACTATCAACCCGTGAAAAATTTTTTAGTATAAAAAATACTTTTGTCCTACTCTCATCTAGATCTATTGAGGTTTGATAAAATTAAGATTAAGTAATATACATTTTTTTTCTTACAATATATTTTTTATCGGCCGCATTCCACACTATAAGAGAGATATGTGATGAAACCACATTTCGTATGTCGATTTTTCTGCTGAAATTGCTTTCTTCATCCTAGGAAACTGTGAATAAAGTATTTTTAGAGATGTCTATTTGTCTGCTTCTCTGTACAGATTAGTATGCCAAGTTCGCAAACTTTTTTATTTCTTAGTGTACTTTGCCAATAATTTTTGGGATATGTCAGATCTATGGAACTGCATCTGTATTACGGTACGATTTAACGTTTTTAGGGTTTTGACTATTTTCACTATTTTTACATTATCAGTAACACTTTCAAGCTTACTGGTGATGTGAGAGTACCACCTTTTCAAATTCATTTTTAAACATTCTCGACGGTCATTTCGTAATACCATAATTTTTTCCGTCCTTTGATAGAAAGAAAACCTAACAATTTCAAACCATATGTTTCATCTAAAAAAGGTTTGACCAATCCTGTCCAAGATGTCCTTTTATGGGGCGTCAATCAGACGTGCGAGTTTCATATTCTTTTAACGTGTAAGGAAAATAAAATAAAAACGAAAGTAAAGATTTACTTGTAACTTTACTTTATTGAATCTTTCTCTTAAGACTAAAATTTAAAATTCATACAATATTACAATTTGGTCAAAATTAAGATATTAAATTTGGTCAAGATAAGCAATACTTTGTTTTAGTTTAAATTTAGGTTTTTTTAAGTGGAATTCAGGTCTTCAAGTGGTTTTGTTTCTTAAGTGTTGAAATAAATTTCAATTATACATACATACATATATTTTACGATTGTAAATTCGTTTAAGAATTCCAAATAACCACTTAACATAAGTACAAAATGTGTGAAATTTGGTTTAAAAGAAAAAAAAAATGAAAGTTAAAAAAAAGAATGAAAAGAAATTGTAATTTAAGAATGCATCATAAAGAAAGTAATTTATGATTAGTAGGGAGTGATTTTACATATTGTTGTTTTTGGATATGTAACTCCTCCCTCGTTAGGATTGTTGTACTCCTGGTCGATATAATTTTGTACATTTCCTTTTAAATCGGTGTGATTTCTTGACCTTTTACAATATTTGAAAATTAATAGAATTTTTAAAATTAAAATCAAAACAATTAAAATAAATGTATTTGAATTTCATTATTATTTTTCATCTGATTCACATGTAACATTTTTAAATTTACAGAGTGATTTAAATTTTCAATATTTTCATAGCTTGGAATTAATATCGTATGCTTATATTATAATTGTTTGTTTGAAAATTTTATTTTGTTTATTTCAATAGTACAGTTTTCAAAAGTGACAATAAAATTTTTGTACAACATATGTACATATGTACATACTTACATACATATGTATATTGAAAATTGTTATAAGTACTAGAAAAATTTAAGTTATTTGCATTTTTAATTAATATCATACCTAACTCTAGTTCTATAATTTGCAAATTAGTTTCAAAAGTTTTTGTACAATTTTTATAAGAATTATTAAATAGTTTAGAAATACAATTTGATACAGGTTTTAATTTATTTTGGTAATTTTCTCAAGTACGATAGTATGTTTTATTTTTATATTTTTTTCCTCAAATTTTGAATTAGTAACAGGAAAGATCTTGTATTGGACAGCCTTTTCTTGGTTTATTTTTGGAATACATATTACGAATATCAATTTAGTATCATATGGTTAGTAAGGAGATTTTAAGGTTTTGAATTTTGAAAATATCGATTTTATAATCATCAATTTCTTCTGGTGTAAGAAGAGATCGGCTCATTTTTTGATGTTTTGCGAACATTACGTTTTCCTGTATTTTTTCTAGTTTTTCTTTCAGAAGATTAATATTTGAAATTAATTGAAGAAACTGCAGTTGTTTGATTATTTTTCTATTTTCAGTAGAAACATCGTTAAAAAGTTTATTTAACCATACGTTATTATTATTAATACTTTTTTGCAGAACATTGATATTTTTTTGAATATTATCATTAATTTTGATTTGAATATTAAATTAATACCTCATTATGGATGTTTTCGTCTAATATTTTTAAACGTTGTTCTATTTCGATTTTATCTTCTTGGTCCATAGTTCCAAAAACGAACTTTAATACTGAACCCCCCATATCTATTACGGATCTTTTATGTCTAAATGGTATTAATGTTTTTAATGTGTGTTTGAGTTTGTTTATGTTAGCGTTAAGAGTTTTAAAATTTATTCTGTCAGTTGGCAAATTGAAAGTTGAGTTTAATTGTAATTCAATTGTATGTAAAGTGTATTCGATTTCGCTTAAATTAACTATATGAAAAATTTTATCATAACTTTCTATTACAGTAAAACACGGTTAAGTGGATCACGCTTAAGTGGATTTCACGCTTAATTGCATCAAATTTTCGTGGCTTGTACTTTTTTCGATTTTTTCATATAAAAAAATTCGTTTAAGTGGAATTCGGATAAGTGCACAACACGCTTATCTGCGCATATATTTTTTCCCTCATGTAATACTTAATATGTAAATTTATTCGGTTAACTGCACATCCCTGTTTTTATTTAGCATAAATGTCAAAAATGAAAAACTACACTCTCAACTACAAAATAAGAAAAGCAACACTATGTAGCTAGACAAAATATTTTAGTTTCTGTCATTGTCAAATTTTGAGTGTTGAAAAATTAAAGTTATAATATTACTAGGGGCCCCTGTGGTTTGCTTATAAGCAGCAAATAATGGAAATATTTTTAATTTAATAAATTTTAAGATGTAATATGTGTCACTGTTAATTACATAGATATGATTAAAATTCAATTTAAGAATTAGTTAACTCTATTAAGAACGAAAAATTTCCTTATAAACAACGTTATCTGTTAAAATATTTCCATCATTTGTTTGTTATCCATTTTTTAAAAAGAAAAGAATTCGCAATTGGAAATAGTACCTTTCACGTTAAACTTTAAAACCAAAGTGAATGTGAATTAATAAAAAATCAATGCCTCTTTTCTTTATACAGACCTGGCTTGGCTACTTACTCAATTGAAATTTCGCAAGCACACGAAGAATAATTGCCTTAGTACGTAACGTAACGTTATTCGTGTTCTTATATCTCTCACAATTTTTAGTTTTATTTTTTTAAATTCCATTCCATGTTAAATACAACAACAAAAAATTATTTTACTCTTACTTAACTCATTTAAAATATTTCGCTTCCTTTTGCTTTTTATTTTTGTTTATGGTAGTAAAGCAAAAAAACAAAAAAAATATTACTACTCTTTTTTTATTCTCTTTCGCTTTTCGCTTTTCGCTTTTAATTTTTTGTTTTTGTTTTACAGTATGTATAATCAATTGAGTATTCTCTTTTGCTATTTTCATTTTTTTGTTTTTGTTATTTATTAGATTATATGTATACCTGTTCATGAACTGGAAAAATCTTGTAAAATATAATATAGATAGTCGAATTCGTATAAGTGGAAAACACGCGTTAGTGGACAAAATTTTCTTGGCTGATCGATTTCCACTTAGCCGTGTTTTACTGTATATCTATTTGATCTTGTTAAATGATTGAAAAGCCAGCCTGAGTTTCCATTTTTTGGAGATTGATCGAAGCCTGACATGAATTTGTTAAGAACAACAAGAATATTAGTCAGTTGTTTTATTTCCTAAAAATATATGATTTTGATTTTTAAACTTTCTTTTGATTCGCGTTGAATGAATGTTTTTATTGTTATTGTCTATAATTTTGTTTTTAAATTTTTTAATTTTAATTTTCTTGTAGCGAGGTTGTTCTTTATAACGGACTATAGCAGGATTCTGTATTAGTATTTCGGAGTCGTTTAATTGTGAATTGTTTTCTATCTTTGTTTAATTTGATAGTAATTTTTTCTTTCTTGTTATGTAATTTATCTTTAATTTCCTGAAGATTTGAAATTGTATTATTGATAAAATCTGTTGGCCTAATTTCAATTACTGAATGAATCGTATTATTATAGGCTTCTACAGCCTTCAGAATTTTGCTCTCTGTATCTAAATTTGGTTCCGTTAAGGTTAATATTCTAATATGTTCAGTAATAGTTCCGTGAACCCTTTCTATATTTGAATTTCCCGTATGACTTCTTAGCGAAGTGAAATGAGCTTCAATGTTTTCTAGTCTACAAAAGTCTTAAACGTCCAAAATAATTAAATTCGTTATCGAAAATATATTTTGAAGGTTTACCGAATAACAAATTTCTTTGTCTTAAGGCCTGAACTAATGTAACACTATTTCTATCGGTCAATTTAGTAATATAAAGATGTTTTGTAAACTTATCAAATGTGGTCAAAAATACTTCTTTTTTTAGATAAAAGGGTTCACCATGAACTAATTGATTAGGCTGGGGCCCAAAACCGCACTGTCACCTCCTAGTGGTGGGCCCCGGTAATGGCGGAGGATAAAGGGGTGATTGAAACGATCAAAGTTACGTTCGTGTCGTGGTCATGTCTCGCGGCGAGCCTCTTGCTTTGTGAGTTTCAGCCCTATATCTATACGTCAGCTGACGACAGGCGTCCCAAGTCAAGGTGGAACAGCATATGCCGATGACTGCGTGTCTAAGGGGGAGCTTAGTCGTTAGTATGCGGACTCTGGATACCAGGCGCCCTCCAGTTTAAATGAGCCTTCCCATGGTATGCCGGGCTCTGCCATGGGTGACTTTACTTTCCCGCGCTACTCGTGGGACAAGAAATGGAACATAACAACAACAACAACAAGACAAATAACAACAGTGACAACAACAACAACGACACTAAGGACAACATACAACCACTTAGTGCTCAAGGGTCTTCGGAACCAGAGCTTCTCTTAACTGACGCAGAGGAGGAACTCCTTCTCACGCCAGTGGAGGA